GCTCTTCCGAAACACACCAATCAGAAACCACCGTCGAGATCAGTTTCCCACCCCCACTTCTTTAACCCCCCCCTAGGTACCCCAGGGATGCTTCTGCTATCGATCAAGGCGTGCTCCGTGTCAGTCATCCCCTGAGATGGGGTCTGTCGCCTCACAAGAAGAGAGGGGCGACTCTGCGCATCCCGTGATGCATCCGGCGTGGGATGTTTGTCGTGGCGTCGTTTGAAGAGATAGAGGAAGAAAGAAAAAAAAAAAAAAAGTGACAGAATAGAGCACAGCAATCAGCCAGGCAGCCAGGTACCTTGGATTGGAATAGAAGCAGATCCGGGGCTCTCTCATGGCATCACATCACGCAATACGCCAACTTCGCAGTGAGAAGGGATCGTAACTGGCGCAACAGGCGGCCTGTACCCATCAACCGGGAAACCCGCCGGTCAGGTGGACCGAAGCAACCGTCCGTGGTGAGGGTCTGCCTGGGCTTTGGGACAGCTCAATCTCGCTGTCCCGGGGCCCCCATGTCGTTTCCGTTGTCGGGCCTTCATGAGAAGTGACTAATAGAGCCAGCATCAGTCGCAGAATAGACGAGACCAGAGCAGAGCAGAGCAAGCCCGGCAGTTCGGCACCAACAAGGCCGAGATTTCGGCGTCGCACGCGCCCCCCCCGCGACGCCTGTCGCATCCTTCTACGTGTGTAGAACAGCAGATCCAGGTACGAACGATGTCAGGACCCCTGGTTTCGGACAGCAATAGCAGCCCGACGAGGAAAGAAAAGGGAAAGAAAGCAAAGAGGCAAGACCTGGGACGGCTCCAGTATGGTGATGCCGAATGGCTGGCTGGCACTACGAGAATTGTCTCTGCCACCCCATTTCCAAACACGAGGTGGGATGACAATTGTTTGTTTGCTTGCTTGCTTGCTCCAGCCGCATATCGATATACATAGGGCGGCGTCTGCGGCGGGGGGAAGCACGCAAGCAAGCAAGCAGCAATATGCACCTGCACCGCAACACACGATCACGATCGGACGGGCAAAACCATGTGCAACGTCCGATGCACAGCAGCCAACACGCGTGCGGAATGACCCCGGCGCCTCGTCCATCCAATCTGGACAGGACGTGGTGAGCCCATGAACCTGTTGTTCCTGCCACCCGAGCAGTTCGCTCGCCCCCGAAAGGGTTCTCCACCGTGTAATGTCCCAGCCCACGGCACCGGGAGAGCAACGGCCAGGGGCTTCAGAGACGGGCTCACTTCGCGGAACGGCCACCCCAGCTCCCGCGCGGGCGAGAGGGCCCGACCATGGGCGCCCAACCCGAGCCATTGGCATCTGATACCCAGTACCACGTACCGTTCTGCTGCTCACCCCCCTCTAAAAGACTAGTTTAGCGCTGGTCACTCAGTTGTTCCAAAGCCCGGTAATGGCGCAAGCCCGTGATGGCCTCATGGGCGCCTCATTTTGCCATGCCGAATGCTGAATGATCGACAGACAGGCCCTCCTGGTCCCGGGGCAGCACCCTCGGTCTCCCGTGGCGCGCCGTCAGGTCGTGGTTTGCAGAGACATGGCATGGCGTTCTTTTCATATGCCCGCCGCATGCGCCTCGGGACGAAAGAAAAAGAAAAGTGACAGGGAGAAGCGAAGGCGACAGGTTGGGGGGGGGGGGGGGGAGCGATGATATGCCGTTCAGCTCGCTGGCAGGAGGATCTACGAGGCCCAGGTCGGCGGCCTTGTTACAACCATTTTCTTTCCCTGAACAAGGACTTGATGGCTGGGGTGTGGGGGCCTGTCAGTAACGAATGTGCTGGGAAAGGGGGTTTTGGCCAGGCAGGCATTGCCATCGCGATGTCTACGCCAACATGCCGACCTCTCCAACGAGCACGCCCAACGACATCCGTGGGGTTACCCTGACGGCATGGGAAAAGAATCAAACCGAATCAGGGCATCTGACTCGCTTGCCGTCTGCTGGCCCGCGACGTGCCTGAGCCTGTGATACCGTTTGGCTGAGCTCTTTCCCCTACCTCTTTCCCCAAGGCAGAGAAAGTGATAGTGACGAAGGGGGCTGCAACGTTTCAAGGGTTTCGCGGCAATGAGCTAACCCTATTGCTTCATGCTTCTTCGGGCCACAGAA